GTTTTCCCCACGCGTGGTTGCAGCCCCACGCCCTGCAAGCTCTGGTGCATTTTTGGTAGCTTTTGCATCTTTCTGCCTTTCCTTTGGCTGGCTGGATTGCAAAGCCCGGCTCTTCTCTGCTAACGTCTCCCCACGGGCGTGTGGAGTTTAGAAAAGTCAAGTAAAGGCCCAGTAATTCCCTAGAGCTGCTGATCCCACCCCAAAACATGATGGCATCGCAAACCTTTGGTAGCAGGGAACCCAGATCGTTTCCGATGGACTCACCTGCTGCCGTTCCTTTGGTCTGAAACATTAACAAGTGAGATAGTCTTTAAAAAAAAAGTTATTATAATTTTCAGAAATCCGTGCATTGCTTCATGAGCCTGGGGGTTGGACTCAGGTATTTTCCAAGAATTGTTCCATAATCTGGAGAGTGAGAATAATAGTTCAGGGGTTGTTTTTTTAATTTGATTTTTACCCATCCCAAGCTGCTGCCAAAATGATGGTACTTTGCCCGACCTGCCTTGAAAATGCCATCCCGCCTGGTGTCACCAGGGGACTCCGGAGCATGGGAGGGCTCCTCTGGTTGCTCTCAGGGGATTTGGTTTTGGTTGCCCAAATCAGACTCCGCTCATGACCTTCACCAGCCCCAGCCAAGGAAAGCACCCAGTCCACGGCACGGACATGTGGAGCAGCTCCATCCCTGGCACCCCCGCAGGTACCAGCTGCTCCCAGCCCCTGAACGCAACCCGCAGCACAGAGGCATCCAAAGGGAAAAACATCCCCATGTCCCAGGGCAGCTCGCTGGTGCTGGCCACAATAGGAGCAGAATTGGTGCTGGAGGGAGCCAGGAATTTTTCATAACCGTGCTCTCAGCTGTGCAAAAAAACCCACCTAAACCCGAAAAAACCCAACCCATGCTCTCAGCTGTGCAAAAAAACCCACCTAAACCCAAAAAAACCCAACCCACCTTGAATCTGGATCTCTGGGACATCCTGTCCAGGTGAGGAGAAAGCCAGGGGAAGGATGTGCCTGGAGGAGGTGGAGGTGACCCCGGTGGGTCGCTAGCCTCTCCGCAGAGCTGATGGCCATCCCCTCTGCAAGCCACCCGCTCCTGCTGCCTTCGGAGCAAGGGGCTCACCTTCCAGCCTTCCAGCTGCTTGCCTTCGAGCAAATGTAACTTTGGGTGGGTTTTCTGCCTTCTAGGGACTTGGCATTTTATTTTTTGTCTTTACTGATCTTGGCTGGTGGAAACGGAGCTGTGGTCTGAAAGGAAAGCAGCCCCTCTGGGAATACAGGGAGGACAACTTAGGTGCAGGGCGGGTATTTTCCCGTGCCCAGGGAAGCCGAGGGCTGGGGCTCGGTGGTGGGCACGGATGCAAGGAGGTGTCCTGTCTCCAGCTGTGCCTGCACTTGCTTCTCCTTCAGGAAGCTGCGGTGGGATTTTCAGCAGGCAGGGATTTACTGCCACTCCGTGCCTGTGCCCTGTGCCCTCCCTCCTCACCCCAGGGGAGTCACTGCAGTCGTGCAGGCTGGCCAGCAAACACCCAGCGAACACTCAGCAAACACCCAGCGAGCACCCAGCAAACACCTGGTGAACACCCAGCAAACACCCAGCAAACACCCAGCACACACCCAGCACATCTGCTGTATGGGGTTGCTGCCCTCGCCTGCCCCCGGGCAGCTTTGCTCTGCTCTCCCAGTTATTTAAGGGGTGTATTTTAAGCTCGGAGACGTAGAAGGGGCTGGCACACTCCCTGGATGAGAGCCCCCGCTCAGTGCACTGGTTGTTATTTCAAAGAGCAAAGCTCCCTGGCAGCGGGGCCGGGAGGCGGCAGTGGATCAGGCACCGGCATCGGCAGCACCAAACCCTCCCCTGCCTTTGGTCAGAGTTTGGGGTGATGCGTGGAAACGGATGGCAGGGTAGAGGCGCATCCAGAAATCAATTAGCTCGGGATTTATTTTTTCCCCGGTTGTATTTGGCCACCGCCTTCTCCTTCGAACCTGTGCAGGGAATTCTGCTCATACTTCCAATATTCTTATTCAAAGGATACTACATTTTATTTTGAATGAAAGCCCAGCCTGTTGCATTCCCCAGTTTGCAGCACTGGACCTTCAAAGGGCATTGCCCAAGGCAGGAGCAAGTTGGAGAAGAGTTTCTGCAAAGCCCGGCTGCTCTGCATCTGCCTGCTCTCCATCCAGCATCCCTACCAGCGGCGTGGGTCCCTGCATCCTGGGCCTGCTTAAAAGTGGGTGCTGGGGTGTCCTTCATGCCCCATGAAATAAATGGGGCCCACAAGATTTCTAGCTCGGTATTTCTCCTCTCAAGCGCTTTCCTTATGGATGTCACCATATATACATGGCGAGTTGGAGCACCGCGGGTGGCTTGTGACAGAGGCTCAGCCCGCACTCCCAGGAGAGGAAGGGCTGATTTCTCTTTTTGAGCCAATAAAGACGTGTCAGAGGGCTGAAAGGAAGGGGAAAACTGGCAGCACCTCTGCGCTTTTCAGCCTATTAAGATGTCACCGTGCTTGGATTTAAAAAAAAAAAAAAAATGCAAGCGAGGCATGAATAATAAATAGAGCAACATGCAGCTGACTTCAAGGGAAAGCTGATTTCCCCAGGGCTCGCTCCACGCCATATGCATTAAAATCTGGCCCGCTTTGACAGCTCTGTGACCTGAAACACGGTGCTTAGAGCAGAGCCTGGCCGAGGTCCTGCTCCCAAATGTGACCGGGATTTCTTTTTTTAATGCTTTGACTCCCCCTGCCAGCAATGGCTTGGTCTGCCCATGGAAAAAGAGGTGTGATTGCGCCTGTTGGTATTTATATATACACTACTTATTTGTATATACTGCTTATTTATATATACTGCTTGTTGAAAGAGTTGTTTGGACAGCTTTTCTTGGCAGCAGGCTCGGAAGCGGTGCGTGCACAGCCTGAGTGCATCAGGTTTTAGAGAGCAAAGTACCACGCTTTTATTTTTTTGGGGGGTGGAAAGAGATGCGGTGGCAAACCTAGCAGGAATTTTGTTTTTCTCTCTTTTTTTCTTTTTCTTTAACATGAGCAACTCAGACTTCCATGGTTAGCTGCAGGAAGGGTTTTTTTAAACGGTATTTTCCACCCCGCTGCAGGATATTCTGTGAGATAGATACTCAGTGTGATGGATATCCCATGAGATGGATATTCTGTGTGATGGATATTCAGTGCAATGGATATTCCATGCAATGGATATTCTGTGCGATGGATATCCTGTGCGATGGATATTCAGTGCAACAGATATTCAGTGCAATGGATATTCAGTGTGATGATACTGGCCCGCTGCAGACCTCTACTGGGACATGATGGGGCCCATGGGCGGCATGCACATGGCGGGGTCAAGCCAGGACTGAGCATCACCACCCTGAGGGATGCAGCACAGGAGAGGGGATGGGAGATGGGAATCACCCAAGGATAGGTTTTTCTGCTACCACCCTCAAGTAAGTGTGGAAGCAAATGCATCTCCCCCCACTCCCTGCCCCTCCTGGGCCCTTGACCTGCCAGCAGAAGGAATTACAGATGCTTCCAAATCCTCTGGACCCTCTTGACTATTCCATTGCTTGCGCAGCCCTACTCCAGCAGGTGTGTGGCTTTGCTTGAGGCTGGCACGAGTCCCTACCCTTGTTTTTTGTCATGTTTATTTTTAATTCCCTGCTGATGTTGAGCAATGCTTGACCTGGCGCCATTCATCTTGGGTCAGATTGCTGCAGCAGAAGTGGGTGATGGTCTGAGGTGGGGCGTCCGGCGTGGTGGCAGTCTTGGGAGGGTGGCCTCAGGTTGCGCCAGGGCAGGTTTAAGGTGGACATCAGCAAAAATTTTTTCCCCACAAGGGCTGTCAAGCACTGGAAGGGGCTGCCCAGGGAAGCGGTCGAGTCCCCATCCCTGGGGGGATTTAAAAGCTGGGCAGACGAGATGCTTAGGGCCAGGGTTTAGTGGTGGGATGGCAGGGTTAGGGGAATGGTTGGGCTTGGTGGGTGATCTTAATGGGCTCTTCCAACCCAAATGATTCTGTGATTCCATGATTCTATCATGTCAGCATCCTGGGGGAGCTCCGTTACCCTCATTCGCTGCGTAGATGCCAACTGCTTGTGCCTAGGGTCTTCTGGGTCTGAGCAAAGCAGGTTCACGCACAGTGACCACCACCCCAGGGGAAAGGTTGGACTTCTTTAGGGAAAAAAGCTCAGGGTTTGGCTACCACAGCCCCTGGGGTGGCGATTCCCCTGTTTTCTCAAACAACATGGCCAAGCCGATGACCTCATTACAACTTTCTTCCTTACTGAGTCATTCCTGAGCTTGTTCCGGTAACTTTGCTCGTGCCGCTGACTAATTTCTCCTTAACTCCTTCCCTCACGCCTTTGTCCCCCGCCCTGGCCTGTCAACTGGAAGAACTGGATGCAACTGGGTTGCCTTTTTTTTTTTAATCCTGAGTCTTTTTTTTTTTTTAATCCCGAGCTTATTGTGCGGGCTGTGACAGAGGTAAATGAGGGCTTGCGCCGTAGGTCTGACCCTCGCCTGGAGACAGGGAAGGGACTGCACCCACCGCCCCCCTGGGCGTTCCTCAGTCTCCGGCGGCGGGACTCGAACCCTCGTTTTCCCCCTCGCCAGGCCGACACCTTCCCCTCTCCCCCACGGACTGGGGGCGGGGAGGAGGGCGGGGCTAGGGGAGGGGCGCTCCGCCCCGCGCGCGGGCTCGCCTGACGACAGCTGCAAAGCACTT